TGGACCTTGGGGTTTCATGTGCATCAGAACACCATTGCTCATTGCTCCTACTTGAGTAAAAATGTGTGCCTGTCTCCCGGTCTTGGTTGGTTTGTTTTTTCCTCTGTGATGATTCTTCAAAATTTTCTTAGTTTATTCTTTAAAGCATTCCATGATTTTTTACTTCCTTCTCTCTGAAGCACATAGAAATATAGCACAGGGTCCAGGTAGCTGCCTACTGAGTGTCCAGAGAAAGTAGATAAGGAAGGGAGAAAGTAATGACCACTAGACACACATGGTGAGGACGGCTCCAGGGTCCCTCATATGCAAAGCTCCTCTTTTTAATTCATGTCCATCCTGGACACTCCAGGACTTTCTTACTTCCAATGTCTTGATGGGTTTCACTCATAGAGGGCAGGAATAGCCTCGTCTTCTTCAGCTTGGCCATCACTATGAGCTTATGGGATGGGAATTTTCTGAAAAAGAGAGGAATCTGACTTTCCTAGAGTAAATAACATCTCCTGATTAAAGATGCAGTTGTGACTCCAAATCTGTTCATGATAGCCCATCACTGCCCTATATGGGCCAGTGCATAATTGCAGAATAGATGCAAACTTTCTTTTCTCAATATGCTTCACTTATATAAATGCCTAGTTCAATTACAGATGGGACTTTTGCTGATTTTGTGTTGCTGGAATGCAGTTCATTAACTGGATAAGTATCATTCAGAAACTACCCTGTATCATGAGTTTTATCTTCCTCTGGTTTTGTACATTGCCTCTTTAGAGTGGCACTTGGAGCACGCTCTAAATTCAATACTATTAACTTTATTTATAATATTCCCCTGTCATTGGGCCTTTCCCTGAACTTGCAGGTTCAATATTCTCATTGATTAAATCCCCGCCGTCAGCAGAATGTGGACATCTACAGCAGCCTCGAAGCTTGCTCTTACCATCAGTGCACTGAGGTTCTGCACTCAAGAAAGGCAATGGCTATGCAAGGAAAACGTGAGAGTAAGGAAGAAGACAAGGGAAGCAACCAGAAATATATTTAACTTGCCAAGAAGGCAAGTCTTGGCAAGGTCTTGCCAAGACCTTGGTAAAGAGATTGAGGCTGGTAGTTGTCCCATGTAGATGCTCTTAGCAACTCTCCTAGTCTTGGGGGGAACCAACCGAGACCCAAGGCTCCAACAGGTCTCCACCCAATCAGTAATCCTGGAGCCTTGGAAATAAAAGATGTAACTCAAAACTTTTTGAGTCGAAGTTGAGCTTCCACATGGGGGAACTACGCATTTGTCCATTTTACAACATTTAGGATATTGTGATGGCAGCTTGGTTTGGAAGGTTGAACTTCCAACCCATCTATCCAGCTCCTCCACACTGGAAGTTCATGATCTCTATGGCTTTTGTGGCTTCTGGGGCTTTTTTTCTCATAGTAATTGGGGCACAGTTTGTTCTCAGCAGCCTATTCGCTTTTCCTGTAGATATATGTATAGATGTAGATATATATGTGTATATATATATGTATGTGTGTGTACATTTTGAGGTTTTGTTTTTCTTGTGAAAAGTGAAAAGCCCCCATGACTCTTGAATTTTTCTTTTCCATTTTGAAACAGCATTTCAAAATGACCTAAAACTTGAATGATGTATAAAATAATTAGTCTGAATGAATCAGTAGAATAGCCAAATCAGATTAGCATTAGAAATGTTTTCTATTTGCTATCTTGGGTTTAATATTGAAAAGTATTGCTTGTAGAAAGAGTAGAAGGACATGGATTTTCCCAGATTTACATCAAGAAAACAGTCATCATTATTAGCCCCATTTGACAGTGGAAAAATGAGAACAAGAGGAGGCATGCTGAAGAAGGAGGGGAAGCTTGCAGGGTTTATTTTTCCAGAGATGCACAAACAGTAACTCTGCTCACCAAACCATATAGAAAAACAATCCAAAGGAAAAGAGATCCCAAATTAAGCCCATTTCGTGCACCTCAACTGCATGTTTTAATACAAACAAATCATCCAGCACTCTCAAACCCTGGCAAATCTGCTGCGGTATGAAGCAGATTAAGAATGCAAGTGGAAATTGTATCCAGTTTCTCCTGTGGCGTTAAAGCCAAGTCTTGCATTGGCTAAGTGTAACCTCTTGTTTGGTCTATATTTAAACATTTGTGGCAACAATAACATTATCAAATATCAAACAGAAATGCTGCCCTTTTTTTTTTTCTCATTGATTTCCTTTGGTGTATTTATTTTGAAGCCATACAAATAAGTAAAGTAAAGCAGCTTGCTTCCTTGAACTCTTCTTCATGTGTCCAGTCATCCCTAAAAGGAAAAAAAAAAAAAAAAAAAAGTGGTTAAGTAGTCAAAAAATCCTTTGGAATGACAGACAAAAAAAAAGAAGGCAAGTGGACGACTCATCACAATCCATGATATAAAGTGGCATATCAGAAATGGAAGAGCACTGAGCTTCAGTATATAATTTTGGTTAACTGTCACATTGACTGAGCAGTGCTCGTGTTGGCTCTCCAGGTGAAGGAGGTAGCTCCACTGGCAAAGTTTGGTGAGGACAAGTGGTTTGTGGCCAGGGCACAGGCAGGCACCCGTTTTGGTGCAGGAATTGCACCCAGTTTGAGGGTAAGTGACAAGATCTGGATAACCATGGTTGCATGGATAACTCTTGCTTCTGTAGCTCCTCCTTTTCCTCTAGGAAATTGCTCATAGCAATTTGTTTATTCATTCAATAAATCTAGAAAGCAGGGAAAAGCTAAGAACAGGCCAATAAATATCTGCTAAGTCCTACCAAACCTTCATCCTTATTGGCAAGCTTTAGTAAATTCTGTGCAGCCCCATTCCCGCCATGTCTGGGTTGGAGCAGATGGTCTACACAATTTTTTTTTCTCTTCCTAAAAACATGTATTTCAGAGCTTTCCCCAAGCAACTCACTCAACCCCAGCTAGAAAAATTTGGTGCTGAGATCTTCTGATCTTCAGCTGAGATAAGAGAAGAGGGGTAGCTGAAGTGAGTAGCTGAAAAGCCGCCTGCTATTTCTTCAAGGACTTTGATACGATCTTGGCTTTTTCTTTACCTTTGCTGTCGTTTCATTCCACAAATCAGCAGACAGGCATCACGTGGAAACTCGAAGGAATTTTAAAAGAAAAACACAAATTACATGCCATGAAATTCTTCAGCTTCTTTCTAAAAGGCAGTGAGCAGGTGTGATTTATGTTGGTGACACGTGAAGAACTATAACATCCGTGTCTTCAGTCATTATGGATGAAGCCTCTAAGGTAGCACAAATAAATCAAGGCATTTAGGAGGAAATATTTAGCTACAGAAAGTGGATTCCTATTTATTAGCGTGTATTTCTGAATGGTTTGTAGTCGTGTTGAGAGTTGGTGTGGTGTGTTATTTGACCAACTCAAAGTCTACCTTTTGGTTTTGGTTTTCTTCAACTGTATGTGTCTTCATGGATTAGCAAGGACATCTCAGGACCAGTTTGATACCTGGCAGAGGCTGGATGAACTAAACTATAATGGGAACAAAAGAAACACAGAGGAAGCTAGTCAAGGTTTTGATTTCAAGGAGAGATTTTGAATATACCACATCTAGTATCAGCCCATATTCCTGTTATCAAGAAAATAAAATATGCTATATTAAAATGCAGTCGTATGAATGCTATCTCCTAATCTAAAAGGTGAGCTGGATTTCTGATTTGCTCTATTCTTTCTTTATTATTTAGTGGTAACTAGTAAGGGATGGCCAAGTAAGGATGGTTGTCAGGAAGAGATGGATAGATTAATTTCCAACAACTGAAATGAATGTCTGCTTTGATTGCAACCTGAAGCATGGGCCAGGTTAGCTGACAGATAGTGGTACAAATATATTCCTCTTGCCAGTTCTGGTACTACTGTGTGTGTTTGAGCAATGTGATATCAGGTCAATTGGAAACTGTAGGAACGTGTGGAAAAAGGAGGAGGCAGAGGAGATCCCACCTATTCTTTCTGCCATTCCTGAAGGCCTCTTAGATGCTACAGAAGGTACTCATCTCCAGGAGGCAGGTGGATATATGGGACCCAATTTCTTCTGATTGACAGCAAGCTGTTGGACTAGGAAGTCATTAAAGACTTGAGATGGAGAACTTAAGGCTTTTAAGAGCTTGGGTGGATCCAAAGGGATGCCATACTTCAACTTGGGAGATCAAATAGTCTCCATTTTTTAGCTCTCAGTTTTCCTAGCAAGCAAATTTCTCCACGAGCTGTGGAACCAGCTGAGTCCATGTTCTCCTGGATTTGTGTTTCCGAGTCTCTTGCCCATGCATTTTTTTTCACTTCCTCTCTTATCTCCCACCTCATTTCTGCTCTGATACATGTGTCAGGGAAGAGAGTGCAATGTTTCTTCTGCTCGCACCCAGCTCCTGCAAAAGGGAACATTTAGCACCTCCATCCACTTGTCTTTCCTTCCTTGCCAAAGCTCTTTGGGGTCTTTCTCCTCCCCAAAGCAGTTGGTCTCGGCCAAGTTGCGGGATGAGGAGTGTCTTTGAGATTTGTGGATGCCTTTCAGTGCTGCCTGGAAAAGCTCTAGGGTTCAGAAGTTACTAGGGCAACGTTGGCAAGCAAGCAGAGGGATCGCTTCACCCTCATTTCGGGAAACCGGCCTAAAAATAGGTTATTGAGATTCAAGGTTGAAAGGAATGACGTGACAAAGCAACGTGAATTTTAAAAAACATTCACAGCCTGAATATCCCTGCCAGCGTCAGTGCATGTGTTACTAGTTATAGAGGAAGGCTTTGTGTACGTTGTATCTAGCAGCATCTTAGCAAGAGTTGGGTTTTCCCTTTGACACAGTAAGTTTTAGAGATGGTTTTTGATTTATGTTATTTTCTTTCCTTTAGCTTTTTTGTCAGTGGGGAGATTCCTTGGTGCCCACGATGAGCATTATATTAAAAATAGCTGCAGCTTGCGGCGTGGGGAGATGCATGCTAAGATGTGCTTCTAACTGCTGCGTCTGCCTGCTTTATCCCAGGTGCAGCTGAAAAGTGAAGAATCAAAAACATTTGCCATGAAGATCTTAAAGAAGCGGCACATAGTGGACACGAGGCAGCAGGAGCACATACGGTCAGAGAAGCAGATAATGCAGAGCGCCCACTCGGACTTCATCGTAAGGTACTGTCCCTCCAGCCTGCATGTTTGCTGTGGAAAAATACTTGCAAAATACAGCAAAGATTCAGCATTTAAAACCACATCACCATGAAAAGGGCATAGGAGTGATCCTAGCATCGCTACAGAAAAATTTTGGCCACAGCTTCTCTGCAAGCGATTGCTAATACGGGACCAGAGGATGGGGTTGCCTCCAGGCCAGCGTGAAATTGCTCTGTCCATAGTGAACAGAGGGCTTCTCCCCATGCTACCGGCATGACACTAAGCCTAAATTAAGCCTGAGGCTTAACTTAGCACAGAGCAGAGGGAACCTCACAAGGGGTGAGAGATGACCGAGGCCCTTGGCTATTGCTGGAGAGCATTTCTGCTCCCAACAAGCTCCAGAGATGCTTTCTTAGCATCTTAGGATGGAAACCAGTCAGCCTCTTCCTTCAGAGCCCTTGGGAATATTTTCAGCATCCTGGCTCTGCTCAGTGCTAAGGTGCTCCTTGGAGCTCTTGGAAATGGGTCCCAAACTCAGTCTAGGACCAGCAGGTCTCCTTAGCTCTTGCTCAGGCCTGCTGGCTTTAAGACAGCTCTGGGCAGAGCGAACCTTGAAGCTCCCTGATGCCTTTTGTCATAACCATCCCAGCAAAGAAGTCTCCTTTGCAGCAGATTGTTTGCTCCAAGGCTATTTTCCCTCAACCAAAGTGTAGGAATAAAGCAAAAGACTCTCTGCATGCTTTTCATCACCATCTGAGCTGGTAGTTACTTTTGAAGCATTTATTTCACCTTCGCATTTGATTCATTTACCATAACTGCTGCTGGCTGGATGAAGCAGGATGACACTGTGTGTGGCTTCAGTTCCCTTTACACATCCATGATCTCTGTGATCTGATTCCCCAACATGCCCCTGTTACCTACACCTGAGCCAAATAGTCCTTGCAAATTGTTTCACCCTGTAGATGCACTAATGTAATGGGAGGTGAAGTATGGGGCCAGCCAGCAGCGGGGATGTTTTGACCAAAAATGTCAAGAATATCCCTTTACAGATAAAGAGCATGGACCTACAATAAAAAGAAAGTTGGGAAAATGAAAAAAAAAAAAAAAAGGTTTAATATTAAAATGTAAAAAAACAGCTAGTTCTGAATGCCCTATTTTTATTTTCCTAGTTCCATTTTTTTCAGTACTCAGAATAGTGATGGAGCTCTGCTCTCGTTCTGCCATTCAAACACTAAACTTCTCCTGAAGTATTTCCCACTGGGAGGCCTGAAGAGAGAGTGAAACGCTACCCATAAATGTCTTGCCCCGGGTCTGCAAGACAGGGCCTTTCTGACCCCATTTGCTTGTTTGCCAACAACAGGCTCTACAGGACGTTCAAGGACAGCAAGTATTTGTACATGCTGATGGAAGCCTGTCTAGGTGGAGAGCTCTGGACAATTCTCAGGGACAGGTAAGGCTGAAGAAACTATTGTGCAAAAAAGTGGGATATTTTCCAACAGGCCTTCAGACAATTTGAAAGATCTTTATCTTTCAGGGGCAAAACCATGCTAGGTTTGATTTAAGATCCTGGTGAGACTGGGAAGTCATCTTTTCCCATACAGTTAACTAGAGACCAAGTGAATCTAGTTATAACCAATAATACTCTAAGGACTAATTTGGGTTGCATTGGGTACATATAAGATTATGCCAGTGAAGGCTACTTTGTTGTGGTCTATCTGAAAGCAGGGGTTTCCTCTCTTTGAGGGCTTGAGCTTGCAGAGGTTTTGGTTTTGCACATGGAAAGAGGAAGAAGAAAGAAGGTGGGTTGGATGCGCGCACACAGTTTTGGTGCAGGAAATGGTGTGATAAATCAGATATAGCTATTTAGTAGCATCATAACTTCATATAGCTTTAAAAAAAAGAAAGAAAATGAAAGAATCACATATATAATTTCTGGACTAAAATGAATGCTTTGGGTTTTTTTCCCTAAAAACATGCCTTCTCTGGACCATTACAATTAGGACAATAGCAAAGTGGCCAGGCACCTGAGTGTCTTCCTATTTCATTTACAGAGCCTGATAGTTTAATCTGTGCCTCTTTCGCCTTTAAGTTGTGGGTCTGCTGCCATCTAGCTTAGAAGTGCTTTCGTCCTCCTTGCAGCAAGCAGAGCTCTTGCGGCGCTGCCCTCCGTGACGGGTGGTGGCACACGGCTTCTTTCTCTAGGGGCTTTGCAAAGAGAAAAGAAAACAAGGATGAAAAAAAGCCCTGCTTCTGATGAATTTGAAATTAATGCTTCAAATTGCAGTGATGTTTCCCTTTTTTGCTTTTTTTCTCAGTTGCAAACATCAGCCTCCTAAGGACTTGAATGTCACAGTAGGTGGGGATCAAAACGTGTGGATCGCCCAAAACTCAAGGGTTTATATTAAAAAAAAAGAAGACTTTTTACTTGCAAGGGACTTCCCTGAAATAATTACCTATATGCTGCTGTGATAAAGTATGACTTTAGCGTACTTACATGCAAACATTTGATATGAGTGTTGGTGAAAAGCAAAGAGGAACGTGGTTGACTTGACTCTGGGTAGAACGGTGAGCACCTTGCAGAACTGAGCCCTGATGATGGGTAGTAGTAGCCTGATCCTAGATAAACTAATTGCAGTTCCCTTTCTTATCCCTTTCTCATATTACACAGAGGTTCGTTTGAAGATTCGACAACCAGGTTTTATACCGCGTGCGTGGTCGAAGCTTTTGCCTACTTGCATTCCAAAGGAATCATCTATAGGGACCTCAAGCCAGAAAACCTCATTCTGGATCATCGAGGTTACGCCAAGCTGGTAAGAGCCCATAGCTTCACTCAAAAAAATAACAAAGTAGCAAAGCAATACCCCAAAACAAAGAAAAAACAAAAACCCTTTTCTACATCTGTGAAAAGGACAATACCACCCTAAAAAGATGGCTGTTTCCAAGAGAGGCTGATAATCTTTTGTGTTCCCACCACCCTGTGAGGCACCAAGGGACAACATCTCTGTGTCTTGAATGAAGGACTCTTCCCTGTCTCTGGGAAGAGAAACTAGGGGTAGCGCCCACAGCTAGGAGCAGTAGGTCAGACCGTTTCGGTGTGGTGCATGCATGCAATGACACCACCTAAGGCCTTTGTGGTCTTTGATCTCGCTGGTGGGTCATCCATGGGGACTGCATGGCGTGGGACAAGAGAAGTATCTCAGATGCCACAGCGTGATCAACCCCAGTCATTTGGGAAGGGTGTCCATTTACGATTGCTGCATTTTGAGAAGGTGTAGGAATGTTTCATGGCCATCAAGGGACAGCAGAGTGTGCTGCAGACCACAGCTATGGGCACACACAGCCCTGAGGGCAGGGGAGGGCAGGCTGGCAGTTGATGGACAAGTGGGTAGAGCTAAAAAATAAGGCTATCCCATTAAGCATAGGTCGTCTTGGGATTCATTGGCTTCCCAACACAATCCAGTTTTCCATGATTGCTTCCAGCTTCTCAGCAGATGCCTCCATAGTAAGGATTTAGGATGGACAGCCACTAGTGAGCTCAGACACGGCTTTTCTGGGGTTAAATGCAACAAAAACACACTGCCCCACTTCTCACCCTGCCTGAAGCTGTCTTTGGGGATTCTCAGCTGAGTTTCATCTGGAGGAGGAGGAAGGAGGATCAGTGTGAGCTGCACATGCTGGCACTGCTCTTTCCTTCTGAAATCAATGAACTAAGCAGAACAGTTCATTGCTCAGGTTAAAAAAAAAGTCAATAAAAAACAAAAACAACGTGAGCTGTGGTTAATTTAAGTTGCATCAACCAAACATTGGCAAGGATAAATTGGCAATAATAATAATTGATCATGGGTGCCATCTGCTTTCCGAACAGCCCACGCTGCTTTGATTATGATAATATTCCCACGAGGAAATCATGTTGCTGCTCTGCTTCGCTCGAAGGGAAGCAGAGTGACTGCCTGCCTTTCTGCGCCCTGATGCAATTGCCTTTCTGCGCCCTGATGCAATTCGGCTCCCTTCACAGGTCGATTTTGGCTTTGCAAAGAAAATAGGATTTGGAAAGAAAACATGGACTTTCTGTGGGACTCCCGAGTACGTAGCCCCAGAGATCATCCTGAACAAAGGTCACGACATTTCGGCAGACTACTGGTCACTGGGAATCTTAATGTATGAACTCCTGACTGGCAGGTATGGGCATCGGAGCCGGCGCGGCTGATAGAAATGGAGCAGAACATTTCTGCCATTGTCACTCTGATTAGAAACCTGGAAGATGCTGAGTGGACACGTGCTGTTGTGGCACAGAGAAGTCTAAACATTATCCTGTTGAACCCTGTGTGTGTGTGTGTGTGTGTGTTTTTATATATATATATACATATATATATGTATATTTTAATTTCCTTTTTAGCCCTCAGCTTTGGGTTGAGGTGGTGGGAAAAAGGTTTGCAGTTCCCAGAGGGTGGTGGCAAATGTGGTGGGATCTTGCACATGTGGAAGAGATGAGTGGTAGGTCCCCAAGGTTCATGTGTCACAACATCAAAAAGAAAATAAGCCAAGGAGCAGAGCCTGAGCCTTGTTCCTCAAGCTGGCAGGACCCGAGGATGGTGATGGAAACAGGACTTTCAGCCTGTACTACCTGGAGAACATGACTTTGCTCTTTGATACTTTCTTTCCACCACCTAGAAAACCATCCCTTATATCAAGGAGTGTCAGAGCATCTTGTCCAAAAAAATGGTGAAGGGCATAGGAGGCCAAGCATTTCTGGTTGTCATCTACCTTTTCTCATTTCTCACACAATGTTTTATTGGAAACTATGATTTGTTGTGTTGTAGTTTATGTATACATGTATATTTGTATTTATTTTTATTTATATATATGTATATATAAGTGCAGCAGTCTTTAGTGCTATTTTAAAGGCAAGCTTTTGATCCTTCTCTTTCTGTCTCCTCTGAAGTCCGCCTTTCTCAGGCCCAGACCCCATGAAGACTTACAACATCATATTAAGGGGAATTGACATGATTGAATTTCCAAAGAAGATTGCCAAAAATGCTGCTAACTTAATTAAAAAACTATGCAGGTAAATGCATGAAATGTATTTGGCTCTGTCGCATGCACAGAGAAATGACTCCTGTGGTGTGATTAAAAAAAGTAACCTATTTTGTTATTCCTTTTACAGGGACAATCCATCAGAAAGATTAGGGAACTTGAAAAATGGAGTAAAAGATATCCAAAAGCACAAGTAAGTGTCTTTGCCCCCATCCATCATTTTAACCCATGGAAAGATTCTTTTCAAATGCTTTAATTTTCTGTGAAAATCCATTTTCTTCAATTCCTTTGGCTTGTCCTTTCTTTTGTGCTTTAGACTTTAATTTGCATCAGATTTTTTATTCCTTCTTCAATATTTTGATCTATCTTCTAGCCTTACTTGTGAGCAAAAATGCATTGCACATTGCAGAAGACCTCCACATTTGGGTTATTACAATGCAGATGGTCATTTGGAAACAACTCAGCCTGTTTGCACTTTGGTTTTTGGTTTGCAGAATCCCTTCCCAAGGTTTCCCCTGGTCCTTCTCTGCTCCCATCCCCAAAGCAATGCCAGTGTGCTGGCATTGCTGTCCAACTCACAGCTCACCCCACCTGCCTGAGCTGCCAGAGCCCGAGCAGAACCAGATAGAGAGAAGGACATATACATATATATTATAAAGGGTCTCAGTTGAGGGGGATCAACCCTATAGGGAGCAAACAGCAGCTGCCAGGAGACCTGCTGCAAAGTACAGTGGTCTTCTGAGCATGTGGAATTTATACACCGCTGGATTGCTCCACACACTGCGTTTTCTGAAGCTGAAAAACATGTATATAATGATTACAAGAAAAAAAAATATTAACACTAATTAGACAATTTTGGAGAACATAACTGCAGGAGTAATTTAAATATCGTTCTGTGCTGCAATTATACTGCAGCTGTAGGTCTGGCTTCCTGATGTGCTTTCTTATTCTCTCCTTTCCAGATGGTTTGAAGGCTTTAACTGGGAAGGATTGCGAAAAGGGACACTGACACCTCCTATAATACCCAGTGTAAGTTCATCGCTTATTTTCTCTTTCTGACAAAGTCAGTTTAGAAGTTTTGGAGGTGTTTTCATATGCACTTTGTCTCCTGGCAATCTCTTCAAGGGTCTTAGGGGCATGACTATGAAGAAGTGTCTTCCCAGGAGGAAAAAGGAAAAAAAGGCCTCCCACTGCAATGGTTATACTGCTTTTTTTCACCTGCTCCACTTGTTTCATCCTCTACTATTCACATTGCCGCAGAGAGTTGCTGCTTTTTCCCCTTTTTTCTCCAATGTGTCTGTCTTTTTCCTGGTTCTTTTTTTTTTTTTGATGGAACAAGTGGGATTTTTGTATGCCACCTCCCTTCTTCCTTCCTCGCTTAACCTTTTCCCCTCCTCTTTTCTTTTGTGCTTTTCGCCCTTTTCTCCCACATCCGTGTCCTACATGAAAAGCTCTGGTACCAGCTAGTTTATCTTTAACTGGGGGCAGGCTCGGAGGGACAGCGTTCCTCATTTTACTTTGCAGCAAAGCCCTTCCTTTGATGTCTTTGTGCGCTCTTCAGCCACGGAGCCCGCCGCAAAGGGAAAACAAACAGGATTAGCTGGCAGAAATTACCTTGCCCCCCTTGTTTCAGCCTAATCCCTTTTCCCTTCGTGCCTCTCCTGCGGGATCATCAAGGGAGACGGTGTTTGCAATTGCATTGCGTTGTGTCCCTTTGCTCGGTCTGCCTGTGGTCCTCTATCTGCTTCAGTAACATGAAGGGCTCCACGGCCAAATCCTCCAGCACCATTTTTTTTTTCCTGCTAATGAAGGAGCAAGAGGATTTGGTGCCTCCCTCTCTCATTGTGGGATATGTTGCCAAGTCAGACAGTGAAACTGAGTTTTCCCCTTTGCTTACAGTTTCAATGCCTAGCTGATCTATGAGCAAGGTGTAACGTGGAAATGTCCAAATATGCTTTTCCTTATTGTTCTTACTGGATTTTTAGCTTAGGGAGAGTGTATCCAAGGCTTTCACCCAACATCAAGTCAAGTTTGAGCTGCGTTCTAGTAGACGATTGTTGTGGTCATCTCTTCAACCAAGTAGCCACCACCTTGCTGCTACTCCGGGGGTTCCTGTGCCCTAAATCCCCACATTCTCCTTTGCACACTCATCCCTATGTCCACACGCAACATGGATATTGAAACATGAGCCCGCTAGTCTGCCATGAAGGACTAAGGGAGGGATTAAGTACAGGACCCCCTGTGAGATTCAAGGCATTCATGCTGTAACCTTCGAACAGAACAACATTGCTTGCTGGAGTTATTTCTTGGCCTTATCAGGGTGGGTCCAGTGCCCTCCTACTGAGGAACATGTCTGTGATTGTCCCCAAGAGAGTGATCTGCTGTCACCCATGCAGCCAGCCCACTGGTTGAAGTAGATGTGAGCAAAAGTTCTCAGTTCTGTCTACCAGAAGGACAATCCTGGATGTTGCTTTGGGATGTTGCTTCGGAAAAGCAACGGAGCCTTTGATACCGCTCTTTGAGTCTGTGATGGTGGTAGGTGTCCTGCAAGGACACTCCTGCTCCTCATGCCTCTCCCTAAAGAAGTGCAGTCTCTGTGCCAGAATTCATCACAAGCAAGCTGGTTCGCAAACTTATTGGAGGACAAGCTGGACTCCAGGTTCTGCAACAGCTACACAACGGACAGGAAGTGATTCCACTGTATCTCAGGTGTTTCTTTAAACAGCCTTGCTGCGGGCAGTACGGTCCTCCCCAAATCTACACTGGCGACCTTGAGGTACCACTGAAAGCACTGACTTTGCTCTAGTAAAACGTTATTTTTGCCTGGAGGAGCAGCTGCTCTATTTTTGTTCTGATTTTAAAATTACATAGAATCTACTGGGAGCCTGGCAAAGGAAAGTTTTAATTATTGTCATAAAGCAGAAAAATTATCTAATTACGGTAGGTTGCAAATTACACCTTTTCCTTCCCCCCACCCCACCACCAAAAAAAAAAAAAAAGAGAAAGAGAAAGAGAGAAAGGTACTTAGCTTTCATAATTCTATTAGACGGTTGGAACTTAGACTTTCTGCTTCATTGGAAGCATTAATATTTGGTTCTGTTACAGTTCAGGGCAAACTCATTTGTGTCAAAATTCATCACTGGAAATGCAGATGCATCCTAGGAATACCAATATCTCTCTGCTAGTGTGTGCAAGGAGCCAAGTCAACCGACCCATCTTCTAACTCTGTTTTCTCGGCAGGTTGCATCTCCGACGGACACAAGCAATTTCGACAGCTTCCCTGAGGACAACGATGAACCACCCCCTGATGACAACTCAGGATGGGACATAGATTTTTAATGTATTTCTTTTACCTGCTTCTGCCTTGCTGAAGACAGCTTCCTGGGACGTGGCTGCCAGCAGAACTGAAAGAGTTGGGGAGGATTAGTGCTCGGGGTCACCATGATGCCTTGATTGATGCTGCTACAGTAACTACAGTGGCATTAGGACTTCTCGCTTAGATGACAATAGTGCTCTTCATGTTTTCTGTTCAAACTTAAAATAGCAGTTGACATGTGGTGGTCCTGACGCAAAGCCTTTCACCGGTAAAGAAGTATGTTTTCTATCACTGCGACGTTCTTGCGACGCTCTAATTATCCAAGTTGAAAGATAACGTAGCGTAAGATGCAATTCTAGCTGCGAGGCACTGGCTTTAGTCAGTAGGTTCAATAGTAATTTACTAAGTGCTGCAGCTAAGAGCAGTACAGGATCAGGGCTCCTCCCGCGGGTCTGTAGGTCTTCTCTTGTAGGCCAGTGTAGAATCAAGGGTGGACCACAAAAAAAAAAAAAAAAAAAAACACCGGTCCAAGAGTTCGTGTCAAAGCAGTGGTAAGATTTGTCCCTTTTTTTGCAAGCAGTATTCATGACGGGACTGAATGTTACCGTTCCTCTTTCTTTTTTGAGAATATTTTATTATTATTTAACCTGATGTAACAAAAGCACAACTGCTCTAGATGCTGTTAAGAACTGTTAGGGCAGGTATGGGTCGCTTCTCAGCTACAACAGAGAACAGAGTGTAACAACATAAGGGATGTTTTTCTTTCTTTCTTTCTGGTATAGATACATAATTGCATGACAAAAAAAATCATAGAATTATCCATTTTACATATAGAATAGCACTTAAATAGCAGTCCTAAAAGTGACAGCAGCCAACTGGTCTTATGAATTGGCTCTTAGGCATAAAACTGAGCTTGACTTTCACCCAAAGGGAGATTATAAAACCCCTAATGTACTTCACAGGTGCTGTGTACATCCTTCATCTGCCAATATAGGTATTGAGTCCACAACCATTTCAGAAATATGTAGCAAGAGACATCGCTTTCCACTGGGCTCTGAGAAAACATTTAAGTCTCCGTTTTGGCATCTCCTCCATGTTGATCTCGCAGGCGAATACACATGCTACAAGGCCAGGATGTTCATTCTGTCCAGAAGATTGCACCTCAAAATGCAATTTTAATGCCACACCAGAGTAATTCAGAAGAGACACCCACAGAAAAGTCAGTGGGATGAAAGGGAGATTTTATAGTGGCTGCATGCCGACATGTTGCGTTGGGGTGAGATTACCACTCTGCTGCTCTTCGAAGCACCAAGTGACCGTGCTTGGGTATGGTGGCTTGAACTCTGAGGCACCTTGTGTGAGGAAAAAAAGAGCTGGGGAAATAACGTGCCCTCCTCTCACTTCCATGGCTTTTCTGCAAGACTGTCTGCTTTGCTCCAGTGAAGTCTCTCCCGACTTGCGCTGGGGTTGCAAGACCAACTTGCGCTAGTCGCAGCAGGTCATCTCCTCGCTAGGACTGGCAGTTCTCCTGTACATCCTGGGGACTCTTCGGAATTGTTGGCTTTTATGGTACATGTGTGTCCACCTCCATGTGTCATTTCATTGCAGGAGTATTTCTCCAAAGGCCAAGAGTCTTTGCATTGACCTTGATCCCTTAAGTTGGAGCTTCACCTCCAAAAGGAGTCAATGCTTAAAATATATATTTTTTTTTATTCTGATGCTAATTCCCAACATTTCTCCACTTTCCCAATGCAGGTGGCTTGGGGAGTCTGAGCAGAGAGTACTCTAAAGACATTTTCTTCATTCCTTTGACAGTCTCAACAGTATCTAAAGCTTGCCGAAGAGCTTGATTAGCGCAGGCCCCCTCCTTAAAACCAGCCTGTTTCACTGAGCTTTCTCCATGCTTTTTAGACGAGCGAGTTAACGTCTTCAGCGCAATAACGCCAGGTTATTTCTTCTATGCGTTAATCACGCGGGGCATCGCGTTTGCCTGGAAACCACAGGGAGGAGGCAGTAACCGTGTCCACCAGGAATCACTTGCCTAGGACAAATCTACGCTGAACTAGTTAATCTTAAAGGTTGAATACTAAATTCTAGGGCTAAAATAACGGTGAGGTGTCCTACCAACCGAAGAGTCGTCTGACTGCATTAAAGCCAAATTCTCTCTTTACATCCCCCCCTACTATCTTCACTTGATGACTACATCGGACAAGACCACCTTGGCGCAGAAGAGGAGGTCATACAGTATCTAGGGCTTGAGGTTCAAGTCCAGCCTTGAGGTCCAAGGTTCAAGTCAAGCAAGGACTTGCCAAGGGTGATTTTTTTGGAGGGGAGGTGGGAGGACTGTGATCCTTGCAGGAAGGTTTAGAAAGGGGTTATTATCTTTCCACTTCTCGGTTCTTTTTTCCTTGTGCCGCATGCAATAATGATAACCCGACTCGTGTGGCATGCACTTCATTGGGTATAGATTTATTTTGATAACTAAACACCTCACTCGACTTCCCCCACCTCTATGACGCATCTTTTAAACATGGTTAGCATATATATATTGATAATATACATCTTCATTTACGAGTAATATATTTGAGTTGCATAATATATATAGATATATAGATATATTCACACCAACTGATTGCCTCCGTGTTTCCACATACTGTCTTTTCTTCTTGGTCTCCTTTTTAAAAAATATATATATGGGGCAACTGTGTCTTCACATAAGGGGAAACCAGCTGCAGTATTTAAAGCAAGCGTGTTAAGATTGGTGTCCTTAAGATACAGGCAACCTGTAGCTTTGTACCGTGCCGCATTACCCATAGGTAACCCCTTATTTAACAACAGGACCACAGGCAAATATTTCTGTAAATAGGTATTTCCGTGTCGGTATTTTGTGGTATACACATAGGGCTTTTTTTTATTTTTCCTTTGGCGTCCCATGGCATTATCCCCTCCGTTTCCTTCTTTGTAATGTAATGTTTTTATGGAGCAACGTAGACTTGAATTAATGTCATGATTGTCAGTATTATTGACCTTTATGTCAACGGTACCGTTAACTCATCTGTCCCATCGGTTGAGACCATGACTTGGCTATCTGGCGTTGTTGCAAGTGCCTTAAATCCATGGCATCTTATTAAAAAAAAAAAAAAAAAACACAAAAAAGAGGAATTTGGTGTTATGCTGCATGATGGAGACAAACACACCTCAAAAAGAAATGTTGTCCTTTCTTAGCTTGCTGCGTTTTACAGTTCTTTCTGCTGACGATTTCTAAGCCTTTACTATATATATATATATATATATATACACACACTATTGACGACCTACAGAAATGATGCCGTCGTTCTCTTATTTCTGTTCAATGTAACCAGAGCTGTGTATCCGTTGATGAGATACAGAGTCATTTCTGTGAAATGTATACATGTACGTGCGGGTCAGGTTTACTATATGACATCCTAGCAGTTCGTATACAGGCACCTTATTTAACCAAGATCATCAGGAGCATTACCATATACATACAAGCAAACTTGACAGCTGCTGAACTCACAGATGTGGGAAGGCATCTCTGAGCTGTCAACACTAAACTAACCAAAAAAAAAAAAAAAATCAATAATAATAATAAAGTTTGCATGGTGTTTGCACTGCTCAACAAAATGGGAGCAGATTTATTTTGTATTCTTATGCCTCAGATATTTTTTCAACCCTGTTCCAAACCCATCCTCTTCCACCCTCAACTTCTTCCCAGCCCCATCGTCTTCCCGCCCCCTTCCTCTTCCCAACTCCATCCTCTCCCCAGCCTCATCCTCTCCCCAATCCTGCCCTCTTCCCAAGTTCGTCCTCTTCCTAACCCTGTCCTCTTCACAACCTCACCTTGTTTCCATCTTGGATCAGACCGCACAGAGTTTTAGTTAGAAGACATCCATCGCTGGACAGTCCTGGACCAGTTGCATTCTTTGGATATGTTCCTAAGAAGCCAGGTTATTTTACATATTTTTCTTTTTTGGAGGGAGTGGTGTTTTTTCCCTCCTTTTTCCCCCGGATTTCCCGGCTTTCGTTCCGTGCTGAGTGTCGCCCCACCGCTGTTAACTGCTGAGTGCCTGTTGTACACTTTCTAGCGATGAAATAATAAAAAGGACAACTTTTGGAGAGCGCTTCTGGGGGTTGTTGCTGCTGAGTGCTGCCTGGTCATACATAGGGGCATATGTAGGAGGGTATATATAGATATAGGTAAATATATAGGGGTTATATATGTGGCAGAGTAAATCCAGGCTTAAATATATACATATATATATATAGGGAGGATATGTATGTGTGTGTGTCTATGCATACACACACTCAAAGATGTGACTGGGTCCAGGCTGGGTCAGGGGCTAACGGGGAGGAGGATCTCATGTGCCCAGAGCAGGCTGGGTTGGGCTGGGGAGGATTGGGAGGTCCCAGTTGAGGTCTGGGGGATGTTCCTGGGTCTGGGATGGTTTGGGGGGAACAAATGGGCTGGGTTGGGGAGCACTGGGGCAGGGGGGTACTTGTTCATAGGGAGCTGGCCTCAGGCCCTGCCACCCTCAGTCCCCCCCAACCCATCCTGGACAAGGATGGGGACCTTGAACATCCCTCCCTCCCGCCCCGAACTGCTCCAGCCAGTTGCCCCTGATCCCCCAGCCTGAACTCAGGACCCCCCCACACCATTTGCCCCAACACCCCAGTCTGGACCCAGGACTCGCCACCCCCCTGCCAAGTTGCCCACTG